CATATTACGAAATTACAGGACAAGGAACTCTTTTTATGATGTATTGATTTCACGGTGTGTTGTACGTGCTGTGTCGCCAGGTTCCGTGTGATCTGCCACAAGATCTGCAACCACTCGTACTTCGGCAACGTGGTCCTGGCCTGTATCCTCATCTCTAGTGCCATGTTGGCCGCTGAAGATCCCCTGCGGAGCGAGTCGCAGCGCAACCAGATCCTCAACAAGTTTGACTACTTCTTCACCTCTGTCTTCACCATTGAAATCATCATCAAGGTATGCCCTCCATTTCTCACCTCTGTCTTCATCATTGAAACCCTTATCAAGGTATACTCTCACTTCTTCTCCTCAAGTCTTCATCATCGAAATCATCATCAAATTATATCCTCACTCATCTAAATCATCATCAAGTTATATCCTCATTTCTCCCCTTTGTCTTCATTATCGAAGTCATCGTCAAGGTATACCTTCCCTTTTCACCTTCGTCTTCACCATCGAAATCATAATCAAGGTATCCCTCTGCCACCATCTTGTGAGGCCTCCTTGATGCTGCAGGTTATGTGGCTGAGGTAAAACATTGTCACTTGCAAATTCCCAAAACACTGACTCGGACAATTTCCAAAACGGTGATGCTTACAATTCCTAAAACACTGTCACTGACAATTTCCTTAATACTGACACTGACAATTTCCTAAACACTGACACTTGCAACAAATTCTCAGAACACTGACACTTACAACAAATTCTCAGAACACTGACACTTACAACAAATTCTCAGAACACTGACACTTACAACAAATTCTGAGAACACTGACACTTGCAACAAATTCTCAGAACACTGACACTTGCAACAAATTCTCAGAACACTGACACTTACAACAAATTGCCAAAACGCTGACACTTACAAATTTAAAAAACACTGGCAATTCCCAAAACACTGACACTGACAATGTCTACCACACTGACACTGACAATAATTGTCCCCTCCCTTCCTCCCCCAGATCATCACGTACGGCCTCCTGCTCCACAAAGGCTCCTTCTGCCGCAGTCTCTTTAACATGCTGGATCTGGTGGTCGTCGCCGTCTCCCTCATCTCCTTCCCGCTTGAGTGAGTTACCTCCCCCTGGCTTGTCGCAGATGTTACACGGCCAGAAATAGAACGTGGCACCATGGCTTATTTCTGCTGTTCGCGGGCAGTAATGCATACAGACGTATCTCACAAGCTGCCAGAAATGACTTATGTCTGTATTCAATACCTCCAGCGTGTTGTGGTAACAAGAGTAGATCTGT